ATAGCATACATTATACGAAGTTATACGAAGTGCCGCTCCTAACGCTCGGCGGTGCTGGCCCTAGCGGCTGCCGCGTGCGCGGTAAGGAGAGGAAAGGAGGCATATACCACAAGAATCGGCCGAAAAGATGAAATAATTCCGAGCTCTGATTTAGGTAATATCTGAAAATTTAAAAAAAACACAGGTAATTTTTTAAGAGCATATTTTCTGTTTTTAGAGCATTTTTCAACTTTATGGAGCTTATATTTTAGGTGCTTAAAACAGGTTTTTTAAAACATATTTTTGGTTACCTTATTAATGACATACTTGACTTAAATACAAATATTTGAACTAAAGAAATCATATATTTCCAGCTAATCACATATTTAGTTATATTGACAACTTTTTTTCAATATAACTTTATCTTGAAGGAAAATAAATTAGATAAGTTTTAGATAAATGAAAAAGATTTAAATAAAGATAGAGGTTGTAAATTAAATAAAATAGAATAACAAAATAGACTTTAATAGTGTACTCTTTAATGTAAGGCAATTATGCATCATATATCACAACGATTTATAGGACATTAAAATATGTGATTTCCACCTTATCCGGATTTATTATATTTATTTTAAAAAATTAAAAAATCTAAGTCTTTAAAAATTATTTTCTTAAAAATGACTTTGTCTGGAAAGAAAAAAACTGGCTAAAAATATATTTTAATAAAATATGTTTTTTTTATTTTATAAAACATGTTTTTTTTATTGCACACTTTTTTCTCAAGTGTAGGAAACTATATTTCAACATTTATTGTGTTCATCTTATTATACTTAACAATTTGTAGTGAATAGGCGATAAATGTAAGGAATTTACGAATCGCATACAGGACTGCCGATGCGTATCGTTCCGGAACTTAGACCGCGTCTCTGTGCCAATTCGAGCTGAAAGCTATAAATTTCTAATTGCGATCTTGCATCTTATGCAAATCGTCATCGTTACAGCCTATTCAAGAGAAGTTACCTTCAAGGCCTAACTTAAGGCTTAACTCACGATATTAAGATACCAGTCTACTAAGCCACTGTATACGCCAATAGCGAACAATCTCATTTATAGTCAGCACAGTGTAATATTTATAAATGTTATAATATTTACGAGTTGCATTTCTAGTTATTTTTATAACGCTCTTGTGGAAAGTTTACTAGAAGTCTTGTAAAAATCGCTGACCTCGAAAGTTTTCCCTGTCGAATCGCTTATTTTCTTATTCCGGAAATTAGATCGTGAAACTAAATTGCTAAATTGCTCATTACAGTAATTTGTTACTGTTAATTGATTTACCGTGGAATCCCTCTGTTCCCGAATCCTTTATTCTTCCACAGCTAGAGCCTGACTGTATCCCATCTTTACCCGACATGTTAAAGCGACATAAGAAATAAAAAATAAAAAAGACAACGCATATCTATGACCTCTTAGAGGAACTGAATGTGAACTGAAAAGAGAAATCAAACAACAGAGAATTTTCACTAGAAGAATAAAGGTGCCAAAGTGTATTACAAATTCTATTTTTCAGTAAATTTTAACTTCTTAAATATTATATAATAAGGATGTGTATGTATGTATACAGGGTGAGGCATCTAAAACAGGCCACCTGAATAATTCCCCTGCTTTTGGTGATAAAAAAAAAATGGATCAAACCAATTTTGCTTAGTTTCAAGAGGGGCATAATCTGATGTTAAACGGTTTTTTTTGTAGGTGGACATGAAGAGGAGATGCAAAGATTAACTTCGTTTTTTTAAGTGAAATAATATGTTTTTTTACTTATCTTCTAATAGACCGTTTCTTCTAATTGTAAGACGCATATAATGATCTATGGTTATAAAGGTCACTTAAGATCGTTAAAAATCAACTGTGATGAAAAATAATTTACTTCAAGGGACCAATCGAACACTTTTGTGTCTTCTCTGGTTGTTGGTATATCGCTCTTATAATCGCTGTATGAATCGTAGAATACTATAAACATTCAATCACGTTATGCTTCATGGAAGTTTGAATATTATAAAGCCGTACTTTGGTCGGTAGCATTATGCAAACTAATAATAGCGTACAATGTACGCTGTATTTATATTATAAAACGTACAACGTGATTGAATGTTTGTTTACATTCTTCAATCCGTATAGCGATTACAAGAGCGATATACCAACAACCAGAGAAGACACGAAAGTGTTCGATTGGTTCCTTGAAGTAAATTATTTTCCATCACAGTTGACTTTTAACGATCTTGAATGACCTTTAACCTTAGATTATTATATGCCTCTTAAAACGCTCTATTAGACGGTAAGTAAAAAAACATATTATTCCATAACATAACGGTTTTTATAGTCTTAAAAAATATATATATGTAGGAATGCGAATGTATAAGTATATGTATTAGGTGTTAAATTTAGTTTTCGTCATTTTTCGTCTTACAAAATTCATTTATTAGAAAGAGAGTAAAATAAATACATTAATCAAAATATTTTCCCTTATTTTCTATGACTTTTGCCCATCTTTCTGGCAGGAGACTAATTCCGCTACGATAAAATACGCTATTTTTCGAAGCAAACCATTCATCCACCCACTTCTGAACTTCTTCATAACTGGAAAAGTGTGTGTCTCCGAGCGCGTATTGCATTGATCGGAAAAGGTGATAATCCGATGGAGCCAAGTCTGGAGAATACGCTGGGTGTGGAAGAACTTCCCATTTGAGCTCCAAAAGTGTGTCTTTCACGATTTTTACAACATGCGGTCGCGCATTGTCGTGCAAAAGGATCACTTTGCGTCAATTACTAGCTACGGATGGCCTTTTTTGCATCAATGCATCATACAATCAATGCAGTTGTTGTCGGTAGCGATCAGCGGTAACAGTTTGATTTGAATGCAACAGTTCATAATAAAGCATGCCTTCTTGGTCTCACCAAACACACAGCAGAGCCTTATGTCCATGAATATTTCGTTTTGGTGTCGAAGTGGATGGTTGCCCGGGATCCACCCATGATTTCCTTCTTCATGATTTTTGGGATTATCGAAGTAGATCCACTTTTCATCTCCGGTTACAATACGCCACAAAAAACTCTTTTTATGTTGTTTGGCAAGCAAAGAAGTTGCGATGGACAAACGGTTTAAGATGGCATTTTCGGACAACTCATGTGGCAGCCATTTTCCTTCCTTATGAATTTTTCCGAGGGCATATAAGCGTTTGCAAACAACCATTTGAATAACATCTAACACTTTCGATAATTCTAAAAGCGTTTGAAATGGATTTTCATCCAGTAAAGCTTGAAGTTCGGCATCCTCAAACTTTTTCGGCTGTTCTGAACGTTTTTTGTTTTCCACGCTAAAATCACCACTTCGAAAACGTTGAAACTACTCTATACACGTTGTTTTTGATGGAGCTTCTTCACCATAAGTCTCGGACAGTAAGTGATGCGTGTCAGCTGCAGTTTTCTTCATGTCGAAATAGTGGAGAAGTACATGTCGAAAAAATATTTTATTACGATTCATTTTTCATCGATTGAAAAATCTCTATTTACACAATAATCAATCTTTGCACACTAAATTGTATTGACCAATGTTTATTTTTCATAAGACAAGCAACTTCAAACATCAAAATTTATTTCTGTAGCTAGCACCATCTACTTGTGAGAAACGGAAACTAAGTTTAACACCTAATAAATGTATTGATGAGCGAATGGAAAGAGTGAGCGGAAGAGATCTGAGCGTATGTCGGAAGTGATTGAAGTATGCGGTATGACTGTTGGCGCGATAATAAAGTAAGAAAAACGCAAAAGCGGCATAGATTAAAGATTGCCTAAATAAACAACAACCACCGAAAAAGCGTAAATGTATGCGTGTGTCCTCTATAAAAGCAGATCCAGAGAACCAAGAGAGTCTGAGATTGACTGCTGTAGAGTACAGATCGAGCGATACATTTGTTATAAAGCGAGAGTTATAAAGCGAGAACGTTTGTTAATTCCCACATACATATTATAACCTAATAAATCCCATATATATATTATACTTTTATAAAACAAAATAAAATAATTTTATTTTGTTTTGAAATTTTTATCCTTTTTATTCATAAATATTAAAATCATATCAACAACTATTTTTCATACATCAGTTAAATAAAATTTTTGATTTGTTGCAGATTAAGTTAGAACGGGTACTGGGCGTAACTGTGTCCAGCAATGCAGCTTTGGATTGCGATGCGACCAGCGAGCTGGTCGCTTATCCAGCTGGGTAAGTCAGACACTTTTAATTGATTTTTTTCAAATTAAAATATAATGACATACACATTCTAATAGGCTAGACAGAGGACAATACAAACAAAAAAAAGAGCAAAACGTAATACGATTTTTTACAAGCCGATTCTAAGATAACAATAAGTTTATTGTTTGCAATGAAGTTTTAATGGCCTCTATGTATTGGACGCGTAAACAAATCACTTTACTCAATTAATTATTTTTTATTAACAATCACGAATTAATACACAAATAATATAATCTATTTGTAAGATCTTTGCAAATATTTTTCTACGAAATTATAATTGGTAATATCGCGAAAATCGTTTTATGATCTGTATGTATACAGGGTGTCCGGTAATTGCTAAATCACCTCTCGGCTGCAAATAGAGCAGGTTAAACCGAGTAGAAAAGTCCTCTATCATTTTGCGATTTTCGCGATAATTAATGAGGAATTAATTAAAAAATATCGGCCAATTCGCGTGAGTTTAAGAGCGCGGCGAGAAGAGACCCATGGCGGTACAGCCCACTGTTATTTGGTTACTAGGCGCGCAACGAAGCGTTGGGAGAAGCGCTCTACAAATGACAACGGCAACATACGAGCGGTGCGTAACACTAGATTGTTGCGTCCTAGCGACCACGTAACAGTGGGCTGTCTTTACATCGCGAGTACTCCCCTTCATGCTAAAATCAGGATCCACATCGGGGATTTCCCCCTTACAAAGCACATACACTGTGTGTTACTCCCGGACAAGCGAACCCCTCAGACGTGAGGGCACGGTTTCGCTACGCAACTAATATGATTCTTTTATATTGCACCTGTGATGTTGCCCCAGGTGGCAAGGCGCTTTGACAACATAAAATAAGCCGGCATATCAGCCGATCTAATTGTGACGGTGCTGGGGTGACCGCAGCCTCCCACTTAAGAAATAATGCCACATGACGGCGTCACGAGCACTGTGCAGTCAGGAGTATTGAAAAAGCTATCCACCCCAGTATTTTCCAAAAGCATTTACCACATTCTTTATTTTTCCATTTTTTTCTTTGATATTTGTTAGATGAAAATTGACATTCCCCTTTCCTCCATCTACTAATTTCCATTTAGCATCCAAGAAAAATAAAAAATAAAGAATGTAATAAATTTTATTATTAGTTATTAAATTTTATTATTAATTATATTTTATTATTATTAAAATTGCTTTTGAAAAGTAGTGGGGATACCCGAATGAATAGCTTTCAATGCTCCTGATTGTACAATTTTATGCTGAATATCTTTGAACGATTAATTAAATTACATGTTTCGACTTCCTACTTTTACTTTAATGCACATAAGTATGCGTTGATCATTCGCGCTACAAAAAATAAGATTGCTAAATTGTTCATCGATAGTAACTTTATAAATATCCTTAGCAAGAATAGGTGAAATGTACGGGAAAACTGCAGCAAGTCAACTCGACTTATATGTCGGTTGAAAATATCAAATTGTTAATATGTTAATATTGATATAAAATGATTAGGTTAGATTACATTACGTTACGTTACGTTCTATATATGTATTGGATCGTGTAATAAGTAATTTTGTATTTTCAATAAATTTCCTATTGAAAATTTTGAAATTACTTATTGCACAACCCAATAGATTCTATTTTAGATTTATTAATCGATATTCAATCACACCGTGCACGAATAGCAAGCAATTGTTATCTGCACGAGCTGAAAATAATAATACTAAACAATAGAATTGGATTGATTTTTACAAACAATACACATATACAGGGTGTCCCATTTTATTTTAAACAGTAAAATATATGGAAATTACGGGATTTTAGAAAAAAATGTTTCGTATTGTTGAAGTTGGCGTTCTAGCCAATAATCTAAAAAGTCCCTAGACAGGAAGATGCGTTAAATACATTTTTTTTAAGTTTGTCTCGACCCCATCCCCCTTTTTTAGTTGGTTCCGTTCTTTGTAGAGACTCATAACCTGAAACCTTTCTTATTGTAACAAGTTTATATTGTGTTCCTTATCTTTGGTATTAAACAGTGTATTTCAATACTCATTTAAGTAATCAACCGTTCTCAGATTTATTTTAAAACCCATAATCACGTAACAGGTTATGGGCCCAGAAGATCCATTCACGGTGGTACAAGAGAAATAAGGTTAAGCACGGTCCTATTCGAGTCAATTTTTTGATAGCCAGTCAGAGGTTAGTTTTCTTTTTTTGGGGGGGAACCTCGATCATTGTAAGACGACCAAAAATGAATAAGTTAACGTTACAAAAATTCAATGGATACGAGTTCAGTGTTTGAAAGTTCCAGTTGGAAACGGTTCTTGAGTTTCAATGTCTGATGGGCGTGGTTGATAGTACTGAGCTTAAACCAGAGGATACTGTGGCCGCAGATATATGGCTAAAGAACAATAAAAAGGCTCGCATGTTAATTAGTCATGCATTAGAATCAGCACAAGTTCGTCAGGTTATGAATTTAAAAACAGCTAATGAAATGTGGATGCGATTACAATCATTGTATGAACTAAAGAACTCGACGTCAGTTGATCTTTTACTACTACTAAAATTCTTCGAGTATAAAATGGAACCAGGAACGAATGTTGCTACTCATGTCTCAACGATAGAGGAAATGGCAAGGCAGCTTGAGGATCTTGGCTATAAACAATCAGAAATATCACTCGTAACAAAGGTATCGCACTCGCTACCAAGCAGTTTTCGACATATTATTAGTGCTTGGGATTTAATGCCACAAAATGAGCAGACAATGGCAAATCTTCTTCCACGTTTATTCAAAGAAGAAATGCTTAATATCAGCATGTCTAAATTAAAAATCAAGGATAATGATTCAGCAGCGTTATATGGCAAGCATAGAAAAAATACAAAAACGAACAAAAACACTTCTGTTAATGAACAAAAATATAACAAAACAAAATTCAGTGGACATTGTCATTACTGCAAGAAAAAGAGACATAAGATATCTGACTGCCGAAAGTTACAAACGGAGAAGAAACAGGAACAGGCAAATTCGGCCAGTGTTAAGCCAAATGGAAAAAAACCAGCAGCTTTCTCAGCAGTATATTCATCGATTAATCAACAGGATTTATGATTTGCTGATTCAGGTGCTAGTGAGCACATGACGAACAGAAGAAAATGGTTTGAAACCTTTCAATCACTGAGCAAAGGAGAGATGAATATAACTCTTAGCAATGGGCAAATCGTACACGCAGCTGGACGCGGCAATATTCGCATTGAGTCAATTGTTCAAGGCAATAAATTTGAAAATATTTTAACTAATGCTTTGTATGTTCCAGGTATCAACAAAAATTTATTTAGCATTGGATCAGTTACTGATAAAGATATAGAGGCTAAACTAGTAAAAGACAAGTTGATTCTGTATTTAAATAATCAGACAAGAGCTATTGGAAATCACTAACGAGGATCACTAACAAGCTATACGTAATGGATTAGACTCTAAAAATACCGGTTGAATCAAACTACGCAAGTTCAAGAACATGTTCTTTGAATGTTTGGCATGAGCGTTTTGGACATATCAATTTTCAAACTCTTAAGGAGCTTGCACAAAGCGTAACAGGTTTTAATTACGTTGATGTTAACAGCAATAATAACAATCGATTCTGTGAAGCATGCATTTTTGGGAAACAAAGTCGAAAGTCATTTAACGAATCAACGAATCGAGCAACAGCACCTGGGGAGCTGATTCATTTTGACATTTGCGATCCAATGTCAGTAGACTCAATCAATGGCGACAAGACAATGGCAATATTTGTTGACGATTACAGCGGCTTGATTATTACAAAACCAATGAAAGCAAAGAGTGATATAGTTGAGGCCATCGAAAATGTATTAGCCATTGCATCTGCCAGCGGACAATGCAAATTCGTCGTATGAGATCGGACAATGCAAAAGAATTCACATCAAGTGAAGTCAAGAAGTTAATGCGAACCAACAAAATAATACAAGAGTTCTCAACAGCTTATTGTCCACAACAGAATGATCGTGTCAAAAGACAAAATTGAACCATTGTCGAAATGGCTAAATATATGTTAGCAGCGGCGGATCTACCATTAACTCTATGGGCGGAAGCTGCAAGGACTGCACATATCAAGAATCGTGTTCCTCTCAAGCGACTCAATAATCGAACACCAATTGAAACTTGGACTGGAAAATTACCGGACGTTAGCTATTTTCGTATCTTTGGAAATAAAGCTTACATGTTGATAGACAAACAATTTAGAACAAAATTTGAGAAGAAATCCAAAGAAATGATGCTGATTGAATATGAATCAGGTCAAAAAACATACAGACTTTGGGACCGCGGCACACGTAAAATAGTTACAGCAAGAGTCGTCGAAATTGTTGGAAATACACCAAAACAGACGGCTCATTATTGAACCTGAAACTATTGATTCTTCAGTTCAAGAAACAGAAGAAAAAGATGTTTAAGAACTTACTCAAGAACAAACAGAATCTATTACATTTCGTACAAGAAGCAAGAATCAAGAGAGAAAAATATCGGAAGATGAGCTTTGTGCAAAAGGTCACACTCTAATGGCTGAAGCACTAATAGCCGAAGGAATTCTAACTACATACGAAGAAGCAATAAATTCATCAGCTTCAAAACAATGGGAGGCTGCAATGGTTGAAGAACTTCAAAGTCTAGCTCAAAATGACACTTGGAAGTTAGTTGATCTTCCAGCTGAATGTAAAGCGATTCAAAATAAATGGATTTATCGTATTAAAACAAATCTAGACGGATTGGTGAATAAATATAAGGCACGTTTCGTAATAAAAGGGGGTTCACGGAAGCCTTGTGTAGATTATCATGAAACATTCTCTCCAGTTGCCAAATTTGAGTCAATTCAGATTCTATTAGCGTTGGCAGCAGTTAAAAATTATGAAATTGTCTAATTTGACATCAAGACTGTATTTTGGAAATTTGAAAGAAGAAATCTTTATGTTTCAACCATCAGGG